GAGGAGCAGGGAAGAAGGGAACAAGACGAAGAAGACGACGCGGCGGGCGAAGAAGTATCGGGCACGCGTTTGAAGGGCGGGCGAGCGAGTGAAATTCAGGCAGACAACGACGGTACGCGCGCCGGATAAAACATCAAACGCGACGCGCAGCAGCGTCGTCGATTCATGAAATCATAATGGAAGCACGCGCTTTAATATCGACGTTTTTAAAGGGGCAGTCTTAACGGAAGCGACACGTAGGACAGACATAACGAACAAGGAGGAGAGCGGCGGCGGTGGCGGCGGTGACGGCGGCAACAGCGATGGCGGCGGCGGCGGCGGCGGCGGCTTCAAACGTTCTCCCCGCATGATACCCGCTCGGGACGTCTTTCCTTTTCGCGTGCAGTTCAGAACGCTGGATCGGAATTAATGAACCGTAATCCCCCAATAATGAGGCTTCAGCTTCGCTGGTTCCGATACGACCTCGCCGCCCGCGCGACCCCGAGCGCGTCTCTCTCCCTCTCGCCTCGCCACCCCAGCCTCGTCGTCGTCGTCGTCGTCGTCGTCGTCGTCGTCGTCGTCGTCGTCGTCGTCGTCGTCGTCGTCGTCGTCGTCGTCTCCTCCTCCATGCCGCACACGTGCGCCGACGTACATATGTGCCACGCGTGTAAATGCCACATACACCTTACAGACACCTACGTTACCTGCGTGCTGCGTGCAAGGCCTCACGGCTCTCGGGACTGTCGACGCGAGACAAATTATTTTCCCGGAGAGCGCGCGCCGATGCCATTCACCGTGCTGTGTTAACCGACGCGGCTCGGCGATTTTTCTCGCGCGAACAAGCGGAGCAGCGCCATGCACGCACGCACGCACGCACGCACGCACGCACGCACGCACGCACGAGCAGCCGGACGAACGCACGCATGCGGGGGAACGCGGATCGACGACACGGCCGCGTCAGGCTGTGCGTCACAACTTGAAAATTCGCCGGCTCTTCGGATTTCCCCGCAGCCGCCAGCAGCGTTGACCTCGATCGCGATTTAGAACGCACGCACGAACGTGCGTGTGCACATACGCACAGCCGATGAACTTGAATCGGAATCAGTCGATTCCGTTGGTCTCGTGGCCGCGGTCGGACTCAGCAGTCGCTTCTCGTGCGCTCTTCGTCATTACTGTCGTTGCTGTTGCTGCTGTTTGTGGGTCAGGAATGACGGAGTATTTCGGCGAGCTGCCTGGAGAAGCGCATGTAGCTGCCGCGCGTGGTCGACGAGCGACGAGTCCTTTCAGTGCACTCGTTCTCTCGCGAGATACGCGAACCTGAATTGCGTGCGCTCTCTCGGGGACACGACAAAATTGTAAGTAAGAGAGCAGCGCGGAATCACGATGCGCGCGTGTACCTGATCAAAGCGGGGAGGAAAGAAAGGAAGGAAGAGAGAGAGAGAGAGAGAGAGCGAGAGAGAGTTGAAGAGATTTCAGACGAATTACACATCGGAACATTGGAAACGAATGGCGTTGGAGGAAAACGTGAAAGCACCGCAACGTCTCGCAATTCTGCTTCTTTGCGAGGCAAGTTAAAGAGTAACGCAAACGTGAAACGACCGCGGGGCGAGGGGGAGCGGGGGGAGGGGAGGGAGGGGAGGGAGGGGGGAGAGGGAAGGAGGAGGCAGGAGGAGAGCGGGAAAAGAGCATCGCGCAACTCCCGATATTAGTTACAATAACGCGGAAAGTTACACCCGCTTCCCCGGAACTTTGATGCCTTTGTAAACCGCCGCGGAGGCAGCCGGTCGGGGGCTGATTCTCCCCGCGACGCTCGCGGTTATACGCGGGATCGCGTTCGACCTTCGCGTTCAGACTCCGGCCGCAAACGGAACTTTTAATAATTGAGGTGTCCGAGGTAGTACGAGCCCTTCAGCGCGAAAATGCCAAATGCACCGGCGAATGTCTGGCGCACGCGTTGCCGCAAGGATAAAACCGCGGGTAAAAAGTCAAAGAGAGCCCGCTATTTTCAACTGCGCGATCTCTCGCACGAGAGGCCGAGTCCCAGCCGCCTCCCCGGAGCCGGCCGACCTTGCAAAATGAATTATCGGCTGGAGCCTTGATCGCAACGCTTTTCGCCCCGACCTTCCAGGCAATCACGCGAACGTGGCGGATCTCGCGCGCGTAAGAAACGACCGGCCGAAACTCCTCCGTTTGCTCTCCGGCGCGCTTATTTGCGCGCCCGTCTCTCTCCGGCGAATGAAAGCGAGAAGCGCGGTCGCCTCTCCTTCCCGGCGGAAAGAAACGTCGGGAAATGACGACGCTTCTCCTCTTCCCTCCGCTCCCCTGCCATCGCCTCAGATACTCGCAGATCAATCCCGAGTGAGAGCGACGGAGGAAGAAACCAGAACAGCGGAGCCTTTCAAAACCTCTCTCGCCCCACCCCCCTCTCCTGCGCCCCGTGCAAATTCGGTTTGCCGCGCGAACACCTATCCGATGAGCACACCCGTTCGACCGAAACGACGTATATAGAGGGGTGGAGGGTGCAGAAAGAGCGGGGGAGAGGAGGGGTGAGACGGTGGGAGGGAGGGAGAAAAAATAATAAAAGCGAAATTTGGCGCGACGACACGAGCGCGCGCGCGCGCGCGAGTGTTTCTGACAGCGTCAATTGGCGTCGCGCAAAATCGCGTCCCCTCTTTCATTTCAGGGTGCGAGCATTTAACGCGCCGCTCGCTCGCTCGCTCGCGCGCGGTCTACGTCGTCGGACGCACACGGCACACGCATTTAGCCGGCGGTGCGAAGGGTGTGTCGGAGCAGCGGATGCCGGGCTGTGTGCGCGTACATGCTGAAAACGCTGCTGTCGGGTTTGCCTTTGAAGCCACCGAGGCGGCGTCTCGATCGATCTAATAGGAACGGGACACGATGTATCACAAGGTGACGTTTCGTGGAGAGCTGTCGGGCGGATATATCGCGTTACCGGTCCGACTCTGACAGTGTCTCCTCGTCGTCGTTAAATTACAAGCAATTGTGCTCCAGCGTGTGCGCGCTCCGCTGATGAATAACGGCTGCGAGCCTTTTGTCGAGGATACCCGCCGCCGCCGCCGCCGCCGCCGGGCGAAGACGCTCGACCGATTATCGATATACGGCCTCAGTTTGCCGTCAATGCATAACAATCGCGCGCGCGCGCGCGGCCGCAGCGGCGTTCGGCTGCGGGACTCTTCGTTTGCAGTCGCAGCTTTCTCACGATCTTCTTCGATCGGGGGGTGGGGCGGGGGGGGGGAGTCAAACGAATCGCCGCGGACAATCTGCACTTTTGCACCGTCCGATATTCGCCCTTTCAGCCGAGTTCAGTTATTGTCAGTCGCCCGCCCTTATCGCCCTTATTGTCTGCGCGGCAAGATTTCGATTGGATTCAGCGCGGTAATCTCCATTTTCGGCGATCGATCGGTCTATTTTTTTTACAGCGTACGCGTATCCTTTATCGTTTTCGTTTGCGTTCGAATCTGACCGCGCACTTTCGTCGGGACGTTTCATCGTTCGCTTTTTATTCGATTATTAGCAACGTTCCCCCCCCCTCCCCCCCTCCCCCCCCCGCGAACGGACTCGTCTACTGCGGATATTCGTGCCGAGATTCACTTTCCCGCGGTGCAACAATTTATGCTCGCGAGATTGGCCGATTATACATCCGCAAGAGCGGCGTGCGCGCGAACGGGCGGCGGGATCGTCCATCATGTGACAGTATCGATTTAGCGTCAATCCGCAAATCCGGAGGGAAGCCGCGACACGGCGACCAGTTTGTCGCGGCGACAGAAGTTGTAACTATTTGTGTGTCGTCAACGTGTCACACACGCGAGAAGTGAGGAGGGAAAAGTGCACGGAAATCCTCGAGAGCTCCGTGCGCGCGATCTGCGGCAGCGCGATCGCTTCACGCTTCCTAATTAGGATAAAACGGAGACCGTTGAGAGGAATTAAATGTGCTGCTTCAGGGGAGGGGGGAGCGCGGGAGTCTCGTGCGAAGGCGCACGCGAGAGAAGCACGACAAAGAAGTGCGCCATGCGAAGTCGCGTGACCGAAGCTAAAAGTCTCGTTACGCGAGTTTTGTAACGTTACAGCCGTTATATAAACTCAGGAACGCCCAGCATTTGCATTGATGACGTGAATATAATGTATCACCGGGAGAGCCCGAAAGCCGAGCTTTTCTCCGCAGCCACAATGGCCACTGACCACCTGTTGCCTTTCCATTTATATTTTAGACGTCGTGAGAACGTCATCGCCTTACATATCCTCGCGAGCATCGCAAAAGGGAGAGGACTTTTTTTATGCAGGAAGACCGTGACTCGCTTTCGCGTCGTGCGCGTTTTGTACGACGCGAAAGCGTGTCCTCTTACCCGGCGAGAGAATATTAATATGGATCTCGTCATTTTGCCCCTTGATTGTTGCCGCGTGATTTCTGTGCGGCATATTGCGTTACACTTCGGCTTCGCCGAAAATGTGTAAAAAGTTCTGACATTAATGATAACTTTCGAAGTCACTTCGCATGCGAGGGGAATCAATTCGAGAATGGAATTCTGAACGTGCGCAAAGTACGTTCATTGAACACTAATTGCCGGATAAAAATTCCGTCTAAAGAAACGAACGTCGACTGCTGGACGACATAATGGCACGATGATGACACATTTTTTCAATCTCGCGCGCTCGTCGAAGCGTGAACGTTAAATTTACAAACACTGCCTGATTTTTCGCATTTCGCCCCGTATATAAAGTTCCCCTCCCTCCCCCTCTCCCCCCCCGTATTGTTAGCAAACACGCGTTTGTAATGTGTGACAGCCCTTCGGATAAATGTCCGGCCATCCGTTTAGTTATAACAATCCGCTTAAAACAATTTTCCGCGCGTTGGCTATAATACGTGCTATAAAGTGCAGCTCGTTGCGGGGGTCGTTAAAAACGTGCACGTACTTCTCGTTTGTCGTAAAAATGGCGACCCGCCCGTAAAAATGGCGGGATATTGCGGGAGAAAAATCAAGAAGTCGCATTATCTGTTGCAGGGTGCGTCATCCAGCATAGTGGTAAAATTCGCAGACACTGATAAAGAGAGACAACTAAGACGCATGCAGCAAATGGCCGGGAACATGAGCCTTCTTAACCCCTTCGTCTTCAATCAGTTCGGCGCTTACAGCGCTTACGCTCAGGTGGGTCGTGTTACCGTTAATGGCTCTCGCGTTACCGCATTACCGCCTTGTTGTCCTCGTTACCGCGACTCACAATCTGCGATGGCTCGTCCCTCGTTACTCGGAAACGATCGGCCGAAACTCGATGCCGTCGCGTTAACGCCGCCATGCAAAGAGGTCCGCAACAATTACCCCCCTTTTCGGCGGTTCGGCTTCTCTGCAAACATCGCGATCGCGTAGTTTGCGTAAAAATGGACGCGAAAAAAAGAGACTTCTATTTCTGGTCGAAAACTACGTTCTCTTTCTACATTTTTGAAATATACTTCGAAAGTGCTCATCTCGAGTGCTACTTCAAGAGCAAGAGAGGGCTCTCGCTGAATTTGGAGTTCTTGATAAAAACATTGAGACATTGCCGACGAGCGGAAAATTTACGAGAAGTAAGTGTTTAAAATTTTGAATGTGAAGTTTCAGAGGTGGCCGATATAAATAACTAAATTTCATCGTTTTTGTGTCAGATGACCCGTGAAGAAAATTTCGATTTGAACTTTGCTGTTGAAAACGTCGAAAATTGTGAAACCGTAATCGCGACAGGTAACAACAATCCTCCAGTCGATGTTTTCCCGGCGGAATGAAGGGGAATTAAAGGACGGGGAATTAAAGGAAGAAACTTTTTGTTCTCCAAATATTTTCCGCGTATTTTGTATATTTCACATTTGAGATTATGATATTTTGTATTGCAAATTTTTCCAGCGTTGGTTACGCGGATACTTTTCAGGAACGAGCGGGGCTTTCCCTCCCCCCCGCCCCTCCCCGCGGTAGTAGTTCGCCAGGGCTATATAGTAAAAAACAAACCAAGAAAAAAAAAAGAAAAAAAAAACACGCGAGTAGAGAAACGTCCGTTCTGAAGAAGATATTTCCTCATTACAGCAGCAAGCGGCGCTTATGGCAGCCGCGACCGCACAGGGAACGTATATCAATCCAATGACAGCATTAGCCGCCGGACAATTGCCGCACGCATTGAACGGCATGCCAAACCCCGTAGTCCCGCCAACTTCCGGTAAGTTTGCACCCGCCCGAAGGGAATGACTCATCGCGCGAAGAAGATGCTCTCGATGCATCGTGTACCGTCGTGTGGAACGTCTGCGAAAGAAGAGCTCACGCCGCCATAAGTCGTTGCCGAACTGTTAATCCGCCCGGAGTGCCCGGAGAGAGAGTTTCACGATCGTTATCAGCCTCTCCAACAGTTCAATGTTCAAAATTCAGTCGGAGGGCGCGTTGCCGTGTGCGCGTTGCGCGACGAAACGTATCCATCTCTCGCGGACATCCATGCGTCGCTCCATTTTATGGAGGGTGAAACGTGTGTCGCAACGTTCTCTTCTCTTCGAGATATAACACGCGCGCACGTTTGCCTCGCCAGTGCCCGTAAAAAACGTCCATCGCGCGCAACGTGTCGGTATCGATAACAATTCACGCGAACACCGCGCCGAATACATTTGTTCGGTCCGAATTAATCAGGCTCGCGGATCAATCAGGCGGCAACAGCGATGAAGCGAGCTCTCTTCTCCGAAGACGAGAGAGACGCGCGCGCGCTCGAGAGCGCACGAATTATCCGCCGTCAACCTCCCGATGGCCGTTTGATTTCACCGATATAAAACATCTCTCTTCCACCCCCTCCCGTTCCCGCTCGGTTTTCCCGTTCCTCCTCCTCGGAAATACGCGTCGCGCGACTATAGTCTCCCCGGCTACTCGCGACAGACGAGGCGTACAGTCGGCCGCCTTGTGTAACCGGACTCGTAAATCAATACAACATTTTCATCGAACGTGACTCAAGCGAGAGATATTGCCGCTACCGCGAAACTTTATCGAAAGCTCCTCGTCGTAGGGGAAGAGGTAAAGCCAAAGAAAACGCCTCCTCCCCCTTGCCCTTCCGCATCCACACTTCCCCCCTCGTTCTCATTCCGTCCTTCTCCCGGCGATACAAGCGGCAAGGCGGACGGGGGCAGAAGCGGCGAGACCGGAGAGAGAGAGAGAGAGAGAGAGAGAGAGAGAGAGAGAGAGAGAGAGAGAGAGAGAGAGAGAGAGAGAGAGAGAGAGAGAGAGAGAGAGAGAGAGAGAGAGAGAGAGAGAGAGAGAGAGAGAGAGAGAGAGAGAGAGAGAGAGAGAGAGAGTGCTATAGAGAAGTAAAGTAAACGCGGAAATCGGCTCCGTTATACGTCGAGTCTCGTCGAGCGGAAGGTAATACCGTTTGATAGGGAAATAATATTTTATTTCTCCGCCAAACCCCCCGCCGCGACCCCCGTCCATCCGCTTTACTCCGCACCGAAGATTACCGAAGCAGCGAGCTTTTATTTCCGACGATACGATGCCGCCGCGGCCGCAAACTGTATACAGGGTGGCGCTGGCGGAGATTTCCGGGTCCAGAGAATCGCTTCGCGACGAGTGGTCTCAGTTAATAATTGCGCGCGTCTTTGAATATCTCACGAGGGGCGAGTCAAAAATCCCATCGACGGGACGGGAAAAAAAAACAGACAGAAGATCGAACGAAGCGGTGATGGCACACCTTCGATGTCGTTTCCTCGCTTCTTATCGCCCACTCGGTCGGTATAATCACGTGTTTATTTCACGTACGTCCGCCGTTGCGCGTCCAACGTCCAAAATCGTGTTGCGCCGTTATTATCACCGTTATTAAATATATCAAATTCTCTTGATCGCGCGCGCGTTCGAGCTCCTCGTGACTTCCCAAACGGTCATCTGAATTCAAGGGGCAGGCACACGCGTTGGGACCACACCGGGGGGATGATGTCACTTCGACGGGGTGCTCCGGTGTTTTTCGCGAGGCCCGCAGCGCGCGGAGCTTTTGACGAGACGCGATTGCTGCAAAAATCTCACCCCGTATACGGTACGCTCGAAACTACCTGGCCCCGGCCGAATCAACGACGCCGTGCGCGCCGTATCGCGCAGTCACGGGAGTTTAAGTTTACGACGTATCGTCATATCCGATGCGCCGTCGGTTCGTAGCCCCTCGGCTACGAGCAAGGATGTGCGCGCGCGTCCCAGTGTAATCCGGATGTTATCGAGGCATCGAGATTCTTCGCCGTTCCGGCCTTCCTATCTTTTTCGCCGGTCGTGCGAGTCGACGCAGGAGCGGCGGGGCCGCTTGGCTTGATCTGCCGAGGTCCGTTTGAAACGTTTGCTCGAGGAAAGAACAGCTTTCCGCCGCGCGCGGCGAACCGGGGACGGGGGTGAGTCGCTCTCTCTCTCTCTCCCTCTCTCTCATCTTCTCATCTCATCTCTTCTCTTCTCATTCCTCGTTTTGCATATTGTTGTTAATTATCGACTTTTCTTGTAAATCATATTTTAATTTATATCTCTTATTTTATAATTTCTGCCTATGCGCTTGAGGGGACTTATCCCAGAGCGCTCAATAAATAACGCTCCTCTCTCTCTCTCTCTCTCTCATCATCTTGCGAGTCCGTGTCTTTAATTTCGAAACAATTCCCATCGCTGTCACCGGATCCTGCGTGCCGCCGGAGCCTCCAATGCTATTCTTTTCAAAGGGTTACACACGCGCAGCGAGATCGAGTGTCATGTCCAATATGTCCTGGCCCAACCTTCACATCCCCTTTCGCGGACCGAGTGCGCTCCCGACTGTGCGTTACACCGTAATCGTATGTCAACGCGATAGAAATAACAGATATTGCCTAAACATAGTTATATCTCATTACCGGCGCCGTGTAATATCGACGCGATACCGAATGTTGGTCGCCGGCGCGAGATCAATGCGTTATTAACGTGACGCGACGCTTTGATCACTGATCCGGATTACATCGGCGACGACGCAGCCCGCGGACAAACTGTTACCAACAAATACGACCTTTCATGTAAACTTTGCCGCGCGATATATACATATATATATATATGTGTGTGTGTGTGTGTATGTGTATATAATATATATGTATACATATAAAAAAGTAGCGAGAGCGTTGCAAAGTTACGTTGATATTCCACGTCGCCGTGAATCGGGCGATACCGCGAAAGTTGCGCCGAGCGTTCAGGCAGAGAAATACGCAGCGTTGGGCGCGCGTGCAGCTCTTTGACGAACAGAGAAAGAAAGAGAGGGAGAGAGAAAGAGAGAGAGAAAGAGAGAGAGAGAGAGAGAGAGAGAGAGAGAGAGAGAGAGAGAGAGCTCGACGATATTAACTCGGCACAAGGCTCCGCTCTATGGATCAAATCAACAACCCGACGGACGGTCCGTAGTTCGTCCGATCCCTCAAACGGTGCGCGAGGCATACGGATCATTAGCGGTCTTTTGCGGACCCGCTGTTAATTACATCTAACGGAAAAAGAAAGAGACAGAAAGAGAGAGAGAGAGGGGGGGGTGGGAGAGAGAGAGAGAGAGAGAGAGAGAGAGAGAGATTAGAGTAGAGTAGAGAAAAAAGTGAGGAAACGCACGGGGCGGGAGAGTAGACGCGCAGGAAGGAAGGGTAGAAGGGTGGAAGCGAGGAACAGTGAGAAATAAAGCAGCGAGTAGGAGAGGGGGAGTTGAGGGGGGGGGAGGGAGGAAGGGATACAGAGGAAGAGAGAAAGAGCAATCGCATCCCGATCCAATGCCTCGCGCACACGGAGGACGATATCGAGGTGTCGGTGTTGGGAAAGCAAGAGGGTAACCGGTGTGTACTGATCAGGTTTGCTCGTAGGTACCGGCACAGGGCAACCGGTGAACGGGGCGATACCGTCGTTACCGTCGCCGACGATGCCGAATTTTAACATGGCCGCTCAGACGCCGAACGGCCAGCCGGCAGGCTCGGATCCAGGTGTCTACACCAACGGCATACCGCAGACTTATGCGGGACGTGAGTATCAACTCAGGCGCAGCGTGCCGCCCCTGCGCAATGCCCGGCCAATCGGCGACGGACTTTATTATTCCTCGGGGATGTAAATAACTTCGCGCAGGCCAAGTACAAGCCGCGCGAGCGCGAGTACGCGGCTGGGGTGTATGTACGCCGCGCCGGCGGCGCGCCGCGTCACGCCACCCTCGCGGCCGCCTCGCGAGCTCTCTCGCGAGCCGCGGCCGCGCTCCGCCGACGGCGGCGGCGGCGGCGGCGGCGGCGGCGGCGGCTCCGGCGAAGCTGCGAGCCGACCTGCTGCTACCTTATTCGCGCTCGCGAAGGGCGGTATTTTAACGCACAATCGCGCTCGAGTCGCCGCCTCCGCGGTTACTCGCTCGCTCTGCCGAGGCTCGCTTCTCACGTTTGCTTATCACGCGTACATACACGTCGCGTGGTAGGCGCGACGGGAGATTCCGCAGAATCTCGCAGAAGCGCGCTTCGACGGATATCAGGGAGGACCAGCGCTAGGAAAACAGATTTCGTAGCTCTGACAAGACTGTTTAGTTGAGGCATTTTTTAATAGCAAGCAAATATCTTGTTTTACATAGCAAAGTATTATAGTTGTCTCAACTGAATGTATTTTTCTGCTTTGTTCTCTCGACCGAATGCTTTCGCTCGTAGACTTTATATATAAAAATTAAGCACTTTACTTATTTTATCCATAAAAATTACGCAATAACGAAATATTATTTTACGCAAACTAAAATAATGCCCAGTGGATACTATTTTGTCTTTCTGTGCACAAAGATTTAGATTTTATATATTAAGAAAAAATTATAGTATTTTTAACAAAATTCATACAGTTGAAGCTTTTTGCTCGCTGTAACAAAAGCGTGTTACGTTACACGAACAAACCGTAATCAAGCAGGATATTTGTTTACAGGAACTAAGCAGTTTTGTTGGGCGTATTTTAACCAAATTATTTTGTTGTCACAACCAAATTTTGCTTCACGCAACAATACATTGTTCCTAGTGAGGACAACGGCGTGTCGTCGCGTCGCGCGATGGCGGACCTCATATACCGCGCTCTATGAAATCATTAGCCCCGTTTCACGGAGATTACGCGACACTACAGCTCGCGCTCGCGCGACCGGGAGATAGTCTTGCAACGTTAGGCGGCGCGCACGATTATTCCTATAGTGGAACTTGTATTAATCCTCGACCTTTATCGCCGTTCGAATGGTCATTATAGTCGAGTATAGTCGGCACAAGTTGAGTATCGAGCGTTATCGATCGGCCTACTCGGTATTGCGACAGGGGGGGCCTTTAGGCTAGGCCCTCTCCCCGATAAGAGCTGAGCTTACTGAAGTGTAGATGCCCTCCATCTGTCCATTCCAGCGCAGGGGCTGCCCAACGGGGAGGCGGCACTTCAGCATGCCGCCGCATATCCTGGAATGCAAGCTTATGCTGGAGTGGCCGGTAAGTGTTTCTCCAGTTGGAATTTTTATCTACGGCTTGTCAGAAGGTGCTCTCTGTCTATCCTCCGTGTGTCTTTCCGTGCAATGACTGTAGCGCGTCTCGCCTATCCAGCGGCCTCTCTCTCCACCCCCTATCCAGCTCTCTCGCGGCTGTTATCGACGCGCGAACGGGACGCAAATACATACGTTCGAGACACGAGAGCGAGCGAGATATCGGCGCGGTCGCTTCGACTCACGGAGAAATACGCGCGAATCGTCTCTATCGATCGTCCTCTACGGCCTGTGTACCGATCGAATTGCAACAGCGGGACCGCGCGCGCTCGCCCTCCGCGAAAATCCAAGGGCGTCCAAGAGGCAAGGGTGTGGAAGGAAGCCTCCGCGAAACGCTTGAGCAAACATTTCGCATCGTACGATCGCTCGCACGCGCGAACGGTGAACGTGCGGCTCTTCGTGGCGTATTCGGTCTTAACACTTTGTGCACTTATCTCGGCCGGATGTTGCCCATCGCGATCTCGAGCGGCCCGAAGAATGCGTTTTCGACGAGGGGGCCGAAAAAGAGAGAGAGAGAGAGAGAGAGAGAGAGAGAGACAGAGAGAGGCAGAGAGTGGCTCTCGCATCGCGTTTCGCATTCGCGCGTAGAAGGGAAGAAACGCGCGCGTCAGAGCGTCCAACGTTTACACGCTTTTATCCGGGCGCCGGAGCACTTACCTGCGAAAAATTCGATTCCGCTGATCGCGTTGCTGGTTGTTTGCATGCAACTATGGCCGCATGCGTATACACACCGTACATACACGTCACACATGATCCGTGTACGCGTCAACGTTTCGTTCTATAATGCTTCTGCTGTGGTGCTACGATGTACTTCGGTGTCCTTCTAAATGTACTTCGTGTACATATATTATATTGTAGTTTTACACGTTGCAACCCTCCACTTGTCCCGCCCTACACCCCCGTCCCCGCCGCCCGTCATCCCACGTCTCCGTTCTCGTGCATGCTCACCAACAACCGACGGCGATGGGTGGCCGCTATCGACCGTCGAGAGAGCGCCGCTGCGGCGCTGCGTCAAAGTGCAGCGCATCGGCGCAAATTATGATCCAATAACGCCCGGCAAAATGGATGATCTCGTTTCACGGATAATCAACGTCTCGATGGACCTATACTTCTATTACATTCCAATCACTGTCGGTAATGAGAATATGTTTAACGAATTCCGCGTTTACGCGCCCGCGAGCGGAGCGAGAGGCGATCTCGTCTGCCAGTCCGCTGTCGGGATAACCGAAAATATCGATCGAGAGCGATCAAGCCCGAGCGAAGGGAAGCTGGAGCCTTCGCCAAGGTCGAAGGTATGGGCGAAGGGAGGATCACGCGGCGGACGAGACACGCGGGTTATTACTTACTTTTGGACGCTGATAAGCTCCCGCGTCGCTGATTAATTCCCACCGACTGCCCCCACCCGTCCCTTCCTCCTTTCGCGTCTCTCAACATTCGCCGTACATATCGATGGAAATTCAACAAATTCGAGTCACAACAAACCCGCGTCGAGCGTGCGAGCGCAGAGGCGCCCCGTCGCACCCCAGTCGTTTTTACCGAGGATTCAACAGCCGTATATTTTTTTTCTATGTATTTTCGACCAGCGTACACACACACACACACACACATACACCCGTGCGCGCGCCATCGAGATCAGCGAGTGGAAAAAAAGCAATCCCGAATAACGGTGTACCTCTATCTGAGCGTGACGCGGCCGACGTATGATGGCGTATTTATTTCATACGCCAAAACGTTGATCCATCGCGCACCGGCAGGGAGGGAGAGAGGGGGCGGGGGCGGCGGCGGCGGCGGGGGCCTCGGGTAACGTCAATCGGAATATATTAAAGCGATGTTTGCACGGAAATAATTAATTCCGGAGCGAAAATTTGCCTCTGCCGATCTGAGAGCACGCACGCGCGCACGCTCCGCCTATCCGTCACAAACAGGTATCAATCACGAGCATTTTAAATATTTATCAAGCTATAATTAATAACGACGTACTTGCTTTCTGTCCCGCCGTTCGCATGCCGCGCGCCCGCGAGATGTATAACCGCGCCGGTATTCGCGCGCGCGCGCGCGCGCGATCCAAATTTACAAGCCGAGCGAGCAATTGTCGTGAATCGCATCGATTGTCATCATCAAACGAGCGCGGCGCGGCTCGAAGATCAAAACGCGTCGAAAGCCGCGGACGCTTCCGTCGACGCTCGTACGACCGCGCGGAAATATTTCACCGCGCGATTTTTCACCGATCGCCGAGCGGGGGCCGAACTCGTCCGCGAGTTCTCTCTTAAATTCCCGCGACCGGCGGCGCCGAATGAAATCGCTCGCGCGCGCGCGGCAACGCTAACCTCGTCAGACCTTCGGATCGAATTTGTCCCATTACAATTTCATTACGTCGTCGAACGGGACCCTTATATATTGACGTCATTGCATTAATCGGGGATACACGGCCGAATTTCGTAGCAATAAAAACCTCGTTACGTATCGGCGGGCTGTTACTCGCAACTGCGAGCCTGCGACTCGTCGTAATGCAATATTAAACAAACGCTATTACAATAATGGCTCTCCAATTTCTGAAGCTTACGCCGCGCGCGTATCGCGTGTCCTCTCCGCGAGAATCTTCCGTTTTAACGTTTCGCGCGCGCCCCCCCCCCCCCCGCCCCTCTCTCTCTCTCTCACTCTCTCTTTCTCTCGGCACTTCCTCTCAATCGTTCAAATATTTAGTTTCGCAAATTGCAACGGGATATTCTGTGCAGCCGTGCAGAGACGACTTTTGCGCGACATCGCGCGCCGGGAGCGCGTATAAGAAGGCGTGTATCCCGTTTTAATGAGACGCGACGCCTCGGGCCGAATCGGCTTTGAAGGGATATCGAGTGTCGGCTAATGTCGCGCCGGATGCGACGCATTTTCGCAGGCCGGTTCGCAGCACAAAAGTATCGTGTTGAAAGTCGCGGAACGGTGAGAACGTTGAGAGACGAATATCCTTGTCGGGGGGCAGAAACACCCCCGTGATGAATATCACCTGGAATCACCTGTGTGCGAGACCGTTCTCATCGACGAGTCGCTTCTCGCTTGCTTCGGAGCCGACAGAGCAAACAGTCTACTCGCGTAGAAGCGGCATTTTCGAATCTCTCGCGTTAATGGCGCGATACCCTGGAAGCTCTTCGTTCCTCATTTCAATCGTAAATTTCCCTACACGCGCGAACGATACGTTTCCCGTTGGACTCTGCATTTTCGATTCGCGAAGAAACGAATGAAAAAGCTCTCGCGCGTTAATTCACGCGTAAAATTTCGAGGAAGATTTTTGGGCCTCGACTCGGGAGATTAGGCTTCGGCGCGATCACGACGCCATATTTGAGACGACGCGACGATCCATACAAAGTACATCTAAGGCTCCAGCGCGATGACGCAAGCACGATGAGACGACACAAAGACGTCCTACGCGCGCTCTCTAGGCTCTCCTTAAGGTCTCATATGTCCGTTCCAAACGTGACCGCTTGGACCTTCCCCCCCGTTGCCCCCGCACGACGGGTCTTCGGCAAATCGCAAGAATAAATGGCCGCGCTCGCGGTTACATATTCCGCGCTTCTGAAACGCGGGGTCATAAATTACGCCGCGTTGTAATCTGTCCAACGATGGCAACGCAATTTCTGTTGAATCTTCTGTTGACATTTATTGGACTGTTCGGCTTTTATTACTGTCATCGTCCATTATGTATGCGCTATCGCTGCATTAAATTACGATGCCTACGTTTCGGGGCTTGTCGCCGGTCGCGAGCTGTCGCTGGCTCTCAGCGACTCGGCGCATCCGACGTCGGATCGCAGCAGAAGGGGACAAAAGAACGGAGAGCGAGGAGCAGAGGGGGAAATGAGAGGAAGATGAAAAGATGCGAAAAGAAAAGTGAGCGATTATTAAAAAGGGGGACGGATAAGGGGGCGGCGGCACGCACAAAGATCTAGATGTGGACAGATCATGATGTACTTGTTATTTGTTATTGTCGCAGCTTACCCCGCCGTCTACGGCCAGTTTCCTCAGGCTATTCCTCAGCCGATGACCGCGGTGGCGCCCACGCAGAGGGAAGGTAAGTACAACACGCTCATCAACGTCTAACTGTTGACTGTAAACACGAACGACTGTAGACCCGAGATTGTAGATCCACGTCCCGTACACGTCCAGACACGAATTATCCCTCGTCGGCGCCCAACGAGGTGCAACACGGAGTTTCGAGCTTTCGCCGTCGCCGAAGCGCGCGCGCGCGCGAGTACCGTTCATTCCATAGCGCGCAAATAAAGCGCGGCATCGAGAGATGCCGCGGGCTCGATCACGGCCGCAACAATGGCGACGGACAGGAGTAGCGGCCGCGAGTAATGATGATGATGACGACGATGAATCCGGAGTACGTGCCGCTCCGTCGCCTCACCTGCGCGCGCTCGTCTTCTTTAGTTTCCTCATCGTGACGCCCAGGACGTCCGCTGCTCGCGATCGATCGGAAATGCGCGTTGGCCCGCGCGAATTTCCACGCGGCATTCCGAGCGTTACCAATTTTGACAGGTTTCTCCGCCATCGGAGGTGGGCAGGGGGGCGACAGGGGGAAACGAGATTCGATAGTTCGCGGCAATTTTCGCGACGGTATCGCCCTCTACCCGGCTCGAGTCGCGCTCGAAACTGCGCTCGAAAATTGCGGTTAATTAAAAACCACCGGCCCGAATAAAAGAACGCCGTCGGTCAAAGGAACCGCGCGAATCTCACTTACCAAATATATATATATATATATATATATATGAGGGAGAGAGCCAGTCGCTTATTACGCCATCTTTGCGAGGAGGTGCGGAAGAAGCGGAGAGCCAAAGGCAGCCGGGGAAAAAGTCGACTAGGCAAGTCCCGGGGTTAGGAGAGGGATGAGCGAACCAACGCCTAATTGCAATTAACAACTCGCCATTATTAGAATATACGACGCCTCGCAATGAGATAATGCAAATAAAACGAAAGTTTTAATTACTTTGCCGCTACGCCCGCCGGCGATCCGTTGTTACATCGCAGGATAATGGAAAGTTTACCGCGACAGCGCTACCCCGCTTACGTTTTATCCGGCCTCAACCCTCTGCTCTTTTCCCTCCGACCGCTACGTCCTTCCACCTTCCTCCTCCTCCTCCTCCTCCTCCTCCCCCTTCTCCTCCTCTTCTTCTTCCCTATCCACCCTCCTCCCTCACTTTCTATCTATCTATATCTGTCTCTCTCTCTCTCTCTCTCTCTCTCTCTCTCTCTCTCTCTCTCTCCCCCCTCTCTCTCTCTCTCTCTCTCTCTTCCGTTCCCATTTCCATCCCACCTGATCTTTTCGTCTCGTCGATGCGTTCTGACGTTTTCCCATGCACCGCGATTAAATTGTAAGCGGAACACGCGATACTTCAGCGGTAATAGAGATTTCTAATAGAATTTATCTCTCGGCTATGCGCGCACGATGAAAAGCTTCGCGCATTTATTAACGCATATTCCCGGGACCTCTCGGATGGCTATTAATAAATCCATTTTTCGAGTGTATATAAATCCGACGAGGCGGACATCCCAGCGATACTCCAAACGTTCGACATCTCGTAAATCAACGTGAAAAAATCAGTTGTACGTAAATTGATCGATGTGTCGATGTACATCGCCAAGAGATCGCATTATGTTACCGGCGCTGATACGCCGCTGTATTTTACTTTTACGCGAATAATAATTCCAGTCTCGCGTATATCCTCCGGAGTCGAAATGATAAAATATACATATCCTCGTGTGTATTTTCCCCGCCGCTGCAAGTGTAAAAAAGACAGAAAGAGAACTAGAGAGGGAAAGGGTGCGCGAACAGTTCGTCGAGTTTGCGGAAAAAGGAAGGGAGAAACGCAGAGCGGCGCTCGCAATATCGCCGGCTGTCTCGTTCAAAAAATCCAAAAGAAGACGCTCTCATTCTTGGCAGGAACTTGCGTTACGTATCGAAGCCGTTAGGCGCGCCGCGCGGACTGTCGGACTGAACGATCCAAGGAGGCCGAGTGGGGGCTCGACATCGTTATTGTCATCATTGCATGACAGTGGTATCGATCTATTGACTGTCGCTTCGCGAGTTACCCTTTGCTCCGTGTTACTTTATAAGCTCCTTGATCGTTGTTCTGGGTGTTCTACGTCTTACACGATGTGTTTTTTCTCTCGGTGTTCATATATATTATATATATATATATATATATATACATTTCTTCTTCTCTCTGACCATGACTGATTGTGTCACGATATTTTTTAACGTTGAGCTCCTCCTCTTCACTTTACTTTCTCTTTTCTTTACGTATATCAGCGTGTCCCGGATGTTCGTCGTTAATTCGGTGTTTCGCCGTTGCACTCGATGTCAGTGGCTGTGCTCAGTGGTGTTGCGCTGTCGACCGATGTTGGTTGTTGCTTCGCTGCGAGGCGCTGATACGTGCGTTACGCGGGCGACTTGGCGACAGATCGTCCAAAGTCCACGGCGAGAGAAGCGAGAGGAAAAAGAACAAGAAGGAGAGACCCGACGCGAATCCGTTCCGCGATCGGCGGCAACGCCATTCATTCTCGAAAACACTCCGCCAGATTTTCGCTCAGACCGACTCGACGACCGAAGGAACCGTTTCTTCCGCGCGCGCAAGAAGGCGTCGAATGATCGCCGAAATGCCCATCGCTCGTCCTGCCGCGAGTTCTCGTCGAATTGGGCCGTTGCGCGCCGGAGGGACCTACGCGCGGCTTGCGTCAGGACAGGCGTCTTGATCCTTCGGCCAGTGTTTTTCGCCGTTTCACTGACGTCAACAGACGCGCAAACGCGCGCGCGCGCGCGCGCGGCTGCTGGCTGCTCTCGTTAGATTCGCGTGCACGTATCTCGTGTGTGCCAATTAGAGAGAGGCGAAAAGCAATTTCAGTTCAGGATCAACGCGCGCACGCGGCACGACGACGGGCTTTAATTTATGGCTCGTTCTTCATGATTTCGTCGTCCACCGCGCGCAATTTCCCTCCGTGCTCTCTCCCCAGTCGGAACCGGAAACCCGTCGGCACTCGTGCTAATTTGGGTTTCGCGTGACAGCCACGATCGAGTTATTACCGGGGCGAAGTCGTTCCGGGCGAGGGTAGGGACGGGGAGAGTTTGTCACTCTCTTTGCGCCAGCCGCGGGACAGATTCGCGATTTCTCGAGACGCTAAAGCGTACACAACAATTCATGGTCGATTCGTAATTGGCGGAAAGGTTGCTGTTAAATCCTGCGACTCTCACTCGCGGAATGTTTCGCTCTTTCTTTTTTTTTCTTTTCTTCCGACAAAGCCGGCCGACCGCGACTCGCGAGACCCGAACTGCGAGAAACGATTGCGTCGCGCGGATTTTACAAGCGCGATTTTATACGGCAGTCATGCGGGAGAAACATCCGGCAATGTCTGAAGATGCTCGGGTTCTTTTTTTCCCGTTTGCATCAAATCTCTGGATCAAATCCCGCGGACTCGGGACGAACTTTCGCAGCCGGATCGTAATGCGCTATTTTCGACAACTGCGATTAAAGTTTTACCCCCCCGACGAAAATCACCACTCAGATCGCACGAAAATATCCTCGTAAAACCAGCGTAAAATTTCGTCCTTGTCGCATTCGTTCGGAAGCTCGTCCGGATTCGCGATGATAATCTTATTGACCGGCAAACGCGTTCAACGAGTCATGCACGACGGTACGGTTATAATCGGGCTCGAAATGCACAATTATCCTTTGCGATGACTCGACGGGCCTATTCGACACGCGCTTCCCGGGAGAATTTCGCGCGAAAGAAAGAGAGAGAGAGAGAGAGAGAGAGAGAGAGAGAGAGAGAAAGAGAGGGTGAGGGGCGAACGAAAGGTCGCGCGATGAGTAGCACCCTAAAAGTTGAGTGGCAGCCATTTCATTACTTAAATGCGTCCGTTAGTCGGGAAGCTCTGGGCAAGAGAGCAGAAGTTTCCACGGTCATAATCGTCGCTAATTGACGTTGGAGTTATAAAGTTCAGTGAAATTAGCTAAATCCTTATTTGGACTGCCGTTGTTCGGGCAGTTCGCCCCCGCTCGCTGCCTCCCTCGGGATTTTCTCTCGGTCGGCCGAATTAAACGTCGATGTCTTTGGGTGTTTTAACACCGGAAGTCGAAAAAAGATCCGCCTTAAGCAGTCGTCGGACGAGGAGATATCTGATTGTGCGGAAATTAGCTTACGATCGGGGCAAACTACGAGCCGTGAATAAGATGGAGCGATTAAAAGAGGAGCTCCGGTGCGTTGTGCGACGGACGATCTCGCGTGTCTATCAGCTCCCGTCAACTTTATATCGCGCATTGTACCCTTTCGTAATCAGTCAGGCGTAATTAGCGAAGAGAAAAGACGAGATTCCGCGCGCGCGCGCGCGGTGACTCGGCGGGCACACTCGGAAACGTTCCCGCGAAACGCTCGACATGTCGACAATGTAAAGCGAGAACGGGACGAAAGAGTCGAGTCGCAGAAAGAAAGAAGGAATGAAAGAAAGAGAAAGCGACGGATTTTATCGTGTCTGGCGAGAATGCGGGAAGTATCGCACCATCGTAATCAGTGTCATCACCATCATCGTCCATATCCATTCACTCATTTCAGTATCCATCACCTCATCCGTCATTGTGTTGTAAGTCCCAGTGTTGTGTGTGTATATTTGAAAGTATAAATACTCAACGTTACTTGAACCGGGAGATCTCTATCAGTCGCGAGAGCAATACGACGCTCTCGCGACGGACGATTTGTTATTCTTTCTAATCATCGCTCTCAACGTTCGGCCATTTTTCACATCATTTTTTCGTCATTCACTCGCAGTCTGTTTTCTAACTCTCCGCTTGGCTCATGATCACGTGTCATTTTCCGCGTCATTTGCCGGGTGACCAAATCATACGCCATCATCATCTCGCACGGGCGGACGAGAGAGAAATCGGTATTCGTCGTCAAGGGAGTCGTATCGCAGATTCACCTTCATTCATCAGAAAAACGAAAATGAAAAAAAAAAACGAATGCGAGAGAAAGCAAAAACGACTCCGGACGAAAGCAATCGAAAGAGCCGAGAGAAAACGCCAAAAGCGAAAGAAACGGAGACAAAAGAAACTCGCTCGGCGCACCACGCCGGCGGGTCGAGGCTCTCGTGTCGCGCTGGATCATTTATGATGCGAAGAACCAAAACTCATCCAGAACTAACATTCTAACTTGAGTATTATACTTCAAGTTTAGATGTTTAGATGTGCTCTGATTTATATGGTAGGATGCTCTATCTCAGGACCCGAGGGCTGCAACCTGTTCATCTACCACCTGCCCCAGGAGTTCGGTGACGGCGAACTCATGCAGATGTTCCTCCCGTTTGGCAACGTCATCTCCTCCAAAGTCTTCATCGACCGGGCGACCAACCAGAGTAAATGCTTCGGTAAGTGCGCCGGTACTGCGCGTACAAATTTCAGAGCTAGCCACGACGAGAGGTTGAGGGCCAGATCACGTTCTTCACGGCGACCTTTGCGAGCAGCCTTCGGCAGCCGAGTAGAACGAGACAGACTGACGGCAGCCACGAAGCGCTGGAAGGCAACGAGGGAAACGATACGCAAAATCTCAATCATCCTATATCTCTTATCGTATGATTTTAATCATGATGAAAATATATTTTAGCGACAGGTAATATATGTAGAGAGAGAGAGAGAGAGAGAGAGAGAGAGAGAGAGAGAGGGAGAAAAGGACGCGGTTTGATTCGAGCTCGCTTGATAGAGGCTCTCGCCGACGGTATTTTCACTTTGACGCATCGCCGTGTAAAGGGAAGAAAGAAAGAAAAAAAAGCATCATCCGGAACGCGCAGCTGCGCGCACGGTATTTCCCTGTGATTATTATCATGATTTTCAATCAGTCACACGCTACACCGCTCTAAATGACTCTACATGTTTTCAATCAGTCGTGGATTAATCATGGAAATTTAATTCGTCCCCGTCCTCGTATTAGCGGACAGACCGGACAGGCTGAATATGAATGCCGCGTTTCAATGGGACCCGAAATCAAACCGCGCTCGGCTCTTTTTTTAGCTAGAGCCCGCGCCGTATAGGTGGGGACCGAAACAGAGAATGCGGATAAAAGCCGCCGGCGTTCCTTTGATTAATCGTATCCGAGAGTATGAGGATACGGATAATTGGACGATTCCATTCGGCCGCGCCGTGTTCCGCGCGGATGTCCTTGGTCTATGTTCCGCGGCTCGCCTATGTGCGCGAATTCATGTGTTCGTGCGCTCGCGAGTGTATTCGTCGCCTTCCGTTTCAGAGGTACGCGCGAGGGAGCCTCGCGGGAAAGAGGGGCAGCGGGTAACGACGCGTCATTATTATGTTCGCGTTTGATTATGTTCATTTTTTCGTTCCTCGCGCGCGCGCGCGCGTGTAATTATCCCCGCAGCAGAAAAATATGCGGGAGGGAAGGAGAGAGACAGAGAGAGAGAGAGAGAGAGAGAGAGAGAGAGAGAGAGAGACAGAGGTTATAACGCTCTTTGAAGCATTTTTCTTTCTGCGATCGGTTCGCAAGAGAATTCTGCAATCTCTCTCTCTCTTTCTCTCTCTCTCTCTCTCTCTCTCTCTCTCTCTCTCTCTCTCTCCCTCTCCCTCTCTCTCTCCCTCTTTGACGGTGGCAGTTTTTATCAAGAAATCCGTCGAATAATTACGATCGACGATATCGGGGAGAATCGCGGAGAGAAGGGGAGTTTCCTCTCGCGTGGGGGATATGGAACATGTCGCGCGTGGTGGAAACTCGGTAAAGCCGATCTCCTCTCTTCCACAACGCGGGCTCTCTCGTCCGCGGGGCGAAAGGTTAAAATAATCAAGGTGCCCTTCGGCCCCGAGGTAAAAGTAATTTGCGGAGCGGCAGCGAACGGTGATGATGGGCGGAAGAAGACGGAGGAGCTGGTTCGGTCAGGCGGTAGGCCGCCATGATGGCGAAACTGAAATGGGATCGACGCTAATGGTCAAAATTGGCTTAAACCGAGAAAGTCGTGACGATCTTTCGGGAACGCTG